ACCAGTAGATGATATCATGTTAGAAGTACAGTTATGCCTAACTCCCACAATCTTTAGTTTTCAGAATAAAACATACAAACAAACACAAAGAGGTTCCACGGGATCACCAATATCCCCCATTGTGGCTGACAGATTTATGGATAGTTGGGAACGGATGACTGTGGAAACATTTAGTCCTGCTCCAAAACTTTAGTTTCGATATGCAAGTGACACATTGACAGTGTTGAAATTGGGGAACACATATAGTTTGTTAAGACACAAAAGTCCAGTAGTCAACGCAATCCAACTAACGTGTGAATTAAAAGGTACTGAAGGGGAATCAGCTATGTTGGACTGCCAAATAAAACGAAAACAAGAGAGGAGTTAAGACGCTAGTGTCTATAGAAAACCTCCACACTCAAATGGTTACTTAAACTTTAATTTGTCACCCAATATCAGTTAAAATTGGGTTGGTGCATTGTCAATGTAACAGGACCAGAAAACTTACTAGTAAAACAGAAGATCTAAGACAAGAAACTAGATATATTAAGGACACCTTACTCATCAACAGCTACCCTCCCAAATAATTAATAAATATGACTGATATTAGCTACACAGGTGTTAATAGTAGTGACAATAGTGTTAATAATAATAGTGGCAATACTGTGAAGAGAGAATTTGGGACCTCTTCAGTGTTACCATACAAAGAGGGCACCTCAGAAACACTACGTAGGATTCGCAATATGGCTGGTTGGGATTAGAATGGCATTTAAACCTGCAAACTCACTTAGAAATAAGCTTTGTAGATCTAAAGATCCTACTGATCCAAATAAGCGGAATAATTTAGTTTAGCAAATCCCTTGCAACGATTGCGAGGTCAAATATATTGTTCAAAGTAGTCGACCACTGTCGATTAGGTTATTCGAACACATAATTCGAGCTAAGTCAAAATTGGTAGATCCTGGTAAGGTTAGGAATTTTAAAAAAGCTCAGTCATAGCTATACATGCGATTACACACAGCCACACCATAGGATGAAACAGGGTAAAAATCCTTAAAACGGACATATTAAGGTGGAGGGACAGCTTGGTGAATGGATCTTCGTTTATCGAATCAACGCCTAATACATGCAATAGGGAATGACTCAGTAACTGTTCCGGATATATGGAAAATCTTAATACATATATCACAAAGGGGTGAGGAAATTATGACTATATATGGGACGCCTCAAAGTTGTGTAGTTATCTTGACATGACTATGGACAATAAATTATGTCCGAAGCGTAGTCCAGTAAACAATACTGTTACACTGTGTGATAAATCTAATAAATCAATAAAAATGGAACTACATTTTGTTACAGTACTCAAGTGTTTCTTTTATTTATGAACTTCTGATCAACACGGATTATATACATTTATTTTCTCCTTTTTGAAATCGAAGAGTACAAAGTCTTTGTTTTCAAGATGAAAAGAAATGGACTGAGTTTCTTATTCAAACGGTGGTGAATTCGCTGTGTAAATTCGTCATGTTTGCATTCCATGAGTATTTTTGGTAAATGAATCTTAAAGTATCCTAATACGTAGAGGAATGATAATACTGGGGGTTATTCCAGCTTCACTATACAGTTGATCGAAGTGTGAAAGTCACTTAAAATCTAGTTTGTCCGGCAAGTTATAAGTCTTTTCAGGAACAATAAAAGTATCGACAGCATATCTTTGTAGATTTGCCTCCAAACAACTGATATCCAGCAAAAGTATGGCATGATGATGAGCTTCCTAAATTGTTTGGCATATTAAAAATTGTTAATGAAATTCGATCAACACTCAAGACCAGACAACATGGGACTGGATGCTCTTAATGCCCAACCAATGTACGATTTTAAATTGCGGGCTAACTCAGTTGAGTACAATTGTTTCTAGTTTGTCAATCAATACATTTACTAATAGGGCGTGTAACGGGAACCTTTTCATTACTTTTACTTTCTGGTGGTAGAAGATGAGGTTGAAGCATATCATAGTTACATCTGAAAAGTAATTGATATCAAAAGTATTCACCTAGAAGCACTATAAGTTAGCTCTTGTTACGATTTATAGTCCAATACCTTTTTATGCATTAGCCTACATTTTCATTTGATTCCTTATAGAAAAGTCATGGCAGTATAATTAAATCACGTATAATTAAGAAGCAAGTCTGTTGTTTCACATCTACATCGGTTATGCTTTTTTGATAAATAGTTTATTAACATTTTGCCATTCTAATAGCTGATAACATTTTTAAATAACACTTCAAGTCAGTATGCAGCAAAACGTTTGTTATTCATCCTTTCTACACATTTTTTTAAATCTAGTTATTTCTATAACATCTCAGCAATTCACTGTCATATTTTCACATTACATTTGCAATATGAGAATGAATCTAGAACGAAAGCTGTGAAATATGAAAAATAACCTTTTCTTCCTTCCACAATAACAAATCAACAGTTGGAAGACTCTATCACTTATTCAGAAGTACTAAGATATAAAAGCGGAAGTTTTTGTTGATTTACCTTGAAACGATCGTTATGATGGATAAGAGCTAGCGGTGGAACCCAGAACTCGTGTTTCTTCTTACTTGGAACTCGTCAACCGTATATACCTACATTCTAGTAACTGATGATGTTCCCACTTAGACTGGAACCTGGGATCAGCTGCATTAATTCCCACAACTCCACGCAATAGGTTAACGAGTCACGATAGCCATTTCTTGTAGAACGAGTATAGTTTCTATGTTGTTGCTTGTTTTACCCCGTCGTTTAGTGGACTGAATTGACTGGTCTCTATTGGTATATAGGTTTTTGTGTAAGTACCTCGATATTGCCTGTCGTTATAATTTTTATGGTGATGATGGAGACTGAACAATTCAGTCCAGTCGATGACGAGATAATATACTCTTGGAGTGAGCTGATAACACCACTTAGAAAACTTAGTGATCTATACGTTTTCTGGACCCAGTCTTGATCTTAACATTTGAAAACCAGTCAAGTTGTATATTTCACAAACTCGATTTCTGTATTATGAGATGATTAAATAAGCTTCAATTTGTCCGAAATCAGTGGAATTCTTTCCATATTCTCCCTGTTCTTCACTCTACTTCAATCCGGGATTTATAAGTTTTCATTAATTCTGAATGTCTTAAATTTTTTTAAGTTTACCATTTTATCTCATAACTGTTTTTGTTTAATCCACTTGAATTACAAGCGCACGCGTTGACTAGCCGACCAGTAAAAGGTCTGAGTACATTTCTGGTGTAACAGTCACAAAAGAGCTTCGCTAAAAGGGGTTTAACAGTTTTATCTTCAAGAAATACTTATGGTTTATACTGTTTACGTCTGTATTCCTTACATTTGATGATGGACTCTGATGCTAACATAGTCAAGATCAGAAATAAACACTACCAATTATAATCGCTGGCAGAGAAGCAGAATAAAATAATGAAGCTATTACTTGACAATATAGGCAATTAAAAGCTGCTGATCTGTAGAGTACACTTATCAAAGCAGAGTAATATGATTATGAGACAAGTCTCTTTGATGAATTTGCATTGTATAATAGGAAGACAAACGTTATCTAAAAAAATGTCATATATTGGCGCAATGCATTTCGCTTGTAGACTTAGGTTCATTGAAGCCCTAGCTATAGGAAAGTTTAAACCTCTTTTTGCATTCAAAAACAGTTTGTTCTTAACTTAGGCCTACCTTGGTAATCCTTATCTCATTTTAATATCAAGGGAGGCGTAGAAATGTATCGTTACTCCTTACTGTCCTTATATTTTCTAAATGTTGTGTTTATTATTATTATTATTTGTCCCTAGGGTTCCTAGTGGAACATAGGGCTTCAGTAGCACATCTCCAGTGCACTCTGTTCTCTGCAAGCTTTTGAACCTGGCTCCACGACAGCCCAGAAGCTCTCATTTCTTCCTCACAATATCTTCTCCATGTCACCCTCGGACGCCCAACTCGTCGCTTTCCATCGGGGTTCCACTCGAGGGCCTGGCACGTGATGTATCCAGTCGGCCTTCTCAGTGTATGCCCCACCCTATTTTCATCCATCATATAAAATGCCATGACAAGTTAATGTATGATCAGATTGTTCAAGATGTATTGTGCAAATATATCACATTTCTCAGTTAACCTACGTCTTCTTATTATAATATGATTATGTCAAAGTAGACCATGTAGTTTTGAACTAATCTGAAAATTGTTTATCTCCTTTATCGTGAACTAATTCACTGAAGTTAGTTAAGTAGATTTAGGTAATCTCAATAACTCAACTTTATGGTCACATGATATTAACTTCAAAATGCATCCCAGTATTTAGATATGCATGTTTTGTTCAAAGAATTCTGAAAATAAATTTGAATCCTCTATAAATGGCCATTTTCTGAGGCTCAATAGGATTTCATATTTCCTCATTGTAGCCAATCTAACGAACACTCCGTCTTTTAGAATATTCGGTTATGCATTGAACTCTTAACTAAGTATAGCTGTTCGATGCATTAGAAACCCTACGCAAACTTACGAGTTTGTTAGGTATCCAAACCAAACAATAGATTGATTCTAAACTAACATTCATCAAATAAAGTGCTTTACTACAGGTATTGTTGATACAACACTATATGTTTCGAAATTTCAAGAAAAGAACACTATTTTTCTACATATACTACAACGGTTTTAAAAAGTAACAATAATAAAAAACTAATAACCAGATCATTGTGTAGCATATAAAACTCCTTGCATCATACGAACTTTGAGAAATAACGGTAATCAGAGGCTTTAACAAACCATGAACAGATGTGACGAAATGGTGACATAACTTATTAGTTTCTTTTCAGGAGTTATTTTCACTTTATCACTCCTTCCATAGGATAAATAATGTTTTAATAAAATTCAGTGTTCATTTGACAAAACAGTGCTGCTTTACATGGTACCATAAACCATCCTTTTTATACTATGTAAAGAATGACATTATTGCAAGTTGCTTTCATTTAGTCGACGAGCATTTGGAATACAACGGAACCTTCATTGAGATTAGTGTTGACCTTGATATTTTTTGCCAAAGCATAACACTTTATCCATATGATTACATGTCGTTTTGGATTTTGAAAATGTACAAATACCAATGGTGATTGATAACCACCTTGATTTAGGTATGGATAAAACATTGGGTCGTAGATACCATATTCTTTATCACACCAATCTTCATCTGTTTTCAATGCGTGATGACGTTTTAAAGATTCAGTATCATAGTAGCATACTTTGCCTAAATAAGCTGCATCTGTCTCAGTCAATCCTTCACATTTCAGTAAAACACCCGTTTTATTGACCATTGGATCTGGTAGCCAGCCGTAAATACGATTCAACTTTATTGCAAAACATGGTTTACCCTCATAATAACCATAACCGTTTTTTACGTTGCATGGACCACTGACATCTAGATTAAATCGACATGGACGTCGAGGATCTAATAGTTTTGGACTGTCTTCACACGATGCAAACATACCACCAATTATATGATATTGATAAAATGATAAGAATCCTGTCATTTCATCCATCATGGATGAATAGGAAACTGGATTCGATGTACGAAAGTTTATCAGACTCGTTAAAAAGCTTGGATTCGGTACCATTGATAAACCTGGATTAAGTTTTAGTTGAGTATGTAATCCTGTGAGCCTTGGATAGTCAGCTAATATTGTAAAGTAAAATAATATGTACATGTAAACTGCAAAAACTATGCAAGTAATTGAATAAAGACCAATCAGATACATTAATCTGAATAGAGTTTTTCTCCAAAATCCATTGTCACAAAGAAGCGTAAGGTGATATACCTTTTGCAGAAAGGTAGTTTTATAACGTCTCTGTATCCGATGGAACTTCCCTTTGTGTTGTATTTTAAAAGGAGAGTTTTCATCATCATTAAGTAGACTATGCTTCAACATTTTAACAAATAACTTGGACAATATTTTAACATTAAATCAAATACAAATGGAACTGGACTAAAATAACCTGAACTCGTTTTATTACTTCAATGTGTATATTTCAAAATATAAAGTTTAATTTAAACCGTTGTGATTAACCAATGCAAATTTATGTAAAAAAACAAGGAGGTATATTTTCTCAACTTCACTTTTACCCTAATTCTGTGTATAAACTTTGAATATAATTCTGCAAATATATGAACAGAAGGAGTGAGTTTTATAACCTAGAAATTAGATTATTGTCTTGGTTGAAAATTGGTGTAGTACAATGGACCTGTATTGAATATTTAAATTAGTTGTGCGAGAGCCTAACGCTTCAGATTTTTGTAATTAAAAGCTTCTATCTTGACAAATACTGCATTAAAAAAAAACAGAAAATGGAGTTACCTGGGCTAAGCTTTTAAACAGTAGCATTTATTTTATTTAGCGGAACGGTAACTTCAGAATTGAAAATAATGGAGAATATTTGTAGCTCAGGTGGATGGTCTTGGTTGAATTGCATTTTCTGCTCTAGGTTGTTCAGTTGTGAAGCTTTTATCGTCTTTCTAGACGATATCATCAGCACTCACTTCACCATGAAGTGAGCTATCAATATTTCTCTGTGCGTGATTCAGTAGCTTGCCCTGACGAACTGGTTTGCAATTGGTTGTTTCCTTTGACTGTTGTGTCATTGACTGTATACATTTTCTTGTTGGTTGTTCTTCTGCTTGACCTCTAACCTTTCTGTTATTTGTCATCTTTATTACTGGTTGATAGATTAGGTCTTTGTCTATTCATCTATTGATTGCCGACTGACTTGAATGCCAAGCTTCTAGGAATTCCCTGATATTCTTTGTGTTTCCTCTGTCTAAAATTTCTACATTGTCAAAATCGAATTCATGTCCATGGTTGTTATCAACGTGCATTGAAATGAGTGGTGAAATGTCGTGACGTTTATTAACCAGTTGGTGTTCATGTAATCGAAGGCGAAGAGGGTGACCACTTTTTCCAATGTAGTGCGGACCACAATTATTGCAGTTGATTTTGTAAATTATATTCGGTTTGTCTTCTTTGGTTGTTGCTTCCTTTGGTTTGCACAATAGAGTTTGGAGGGAATTTGTTAGTCTATGAGCCACACCAATCCCAAGTGACCTCAGTAATTTTGTAATGATTTCTGATATATTCTTTATGTACGGTAGGATGATGCGTTTGTTGGTATCTTTTGGTGACTCTTTAGTTGATGATGTACGAGATAGGCATCTTCTGATAAAGTTTCGTGGGTAGCCGTCCTTTTTTAGGATAGACACTAAGTAATTTTCTTGTTTTCTCTGTGTTGTTGTACTGCAGTGCGTTCAAACTCTTTTAAATAGAGTCCGCACGCAACTAATTTTGTGCTTTGGATTGTTGCCACTGTAATCGAGAATTTGATCAGTGTGTGTTGGCTTCCTGTACACTTGGGTTTCCAGCTTTCTGGCATTCATCCTACTGACTAAAACATCGAGGAATGGTAGCCGGTTGTTCAACTCCTTCTCCATTGTGAATTTGATGTCACTGAAAACGTTGTCAATCAAATTGTAAGTGTTTTCTGCATCATCTTTTAATGATGACAAAAGTATCTTCTACATATAAAATCCAAATTTTTGGCTTAATCACAGGTAGCTTAACGATTAAACAACCCAGCTCAGAGAACACAACAAAACCAGGACTTCAGAATTATTAAGCTAATGAAATAAATGTTGGAAAATGAAATAGCTGTTTATTGATCACAGTGGTAAACTTTAAGAGTGATGTTAGATCAATGTTACTGTAAGTAACAATTTCTATGCTAGTAAGAACATCCAAGCACATTATGATTTCCATCTAAATATTCATAAGCAGAAAGTGGGTTCATTTCTCAGTTTTCTCACTCTGTTACGTAGTATGGCTGCCCATAGCACTTTTTCAATCCCCATGTAATAAGGTATTACTTCCCAAGTAGAAAACACTGTCATACAGAAATGCTTTATTCACCCTTTAATTTTTAGTCTGAAAGGTGTCTGGTGTTAAGAAGCAAATCACAAGAATGGTAAAAGGTTTTGGCAGCATCACTGCACTTTGAACAAAAAATTGACATAATGTTTTAAATACTTCTGTGTCATTGTGTCTCCAGCAACAATCCAGCTATCTTGAATGACACAACAATGTGTACGGTTTTGCCAACTTTCTAGTGACTAGGCAAGTAAACGGTGTTGACTGTGAGATGATAGAGAATATTTGTAGCTCAAGAGGATAATTTTGGTGTTAGAGAATACCTTATAGCTCAATTCTTTCTGAAGTTTGTGCCGAAGATGCTGTCTATAATGGCAAGGAAAGCTTCATGATTAAACCATCCAGCTCAGAGAAGACAACAGCGTAAAAGGTGTTAACTGTATAAATTAACGCTTTGCATACCATTTCTTATTATCTTTGGCTTGATATGTGACAAGTGGAAGCATTCAGTAATTGCTGTCAGAACTGATACACATTCCAAAATATTTTTCAGCGGATCATGTCTTTTCTAACCTTATTTAATTATGAAAATTTACTTGGTTTTGCCTAGAAGTGGAATTCAGGATACATGTTTCGTCCTATTCGGCAATATCGATGGATCTGCATGAAAGGCCAATTGCCAATAGAGGTCGAACAATTCGATCAAGTATAATAACGAAGAATTATAAATATGTCAACAAATTGTACTTATTTAGTTTGTTGGAAACGACAATGAAAATGTATTCCAAATAACTAACACACTGGATTTCAGTTTCTAAGTGATCTGATAGAAGTTGCTTCTTGTTTTAAGTCACTTTCATCTGAGTGGTTTCGAACTAGAGTCTCCTATAATTGCATACTCAAAAGAGTAGTAGCTGGTTTCATTCACGAGTGATAAGTGGCTTTTGGGAGACAGTTTTTGACCAGTAAGTTGGATGAAATATATTTCGACAAAAGAACTGAAACAAGTTCTTCGTATTATAAAATATAAGTTATGTATCAAAACTAAGTATAACCCACAAAACAGATAGGTGGCTTATTGCTCAGCATAAGGTCCCCATTTTTTACAACTATAATCCGTAGAGAGTAATTATCAAGTATATGAATTTACTGTAGGCTGCAACAGTACATTTCAAACTATTTTTTGATGTTAAGTGTACGAACTCAGTTGTCTGAATGTCTGCAACATGATATTCGTCATTCTTGTCAGTAATCAGGAGGAAATATCTACAATACTAACAAAATTCATGTTCCACTGCATTCTCATACTTGCATCACTCAGCGCTTAAGTCAGAATCTTTACCACTACCGTTTTCAGTTCAGGAATATTTATATGAAGTGTTCGCTGTAAATTAACCAATTTAAATGTGAAGTTTCAAGTTGTCATCACTAACTCAAGTTCATTAGTTCAGTTTTTGAGGTGACCGCTACATTTAGAAACTGAAGGCTACCTGCTTTATCATCCGGCCCAAAGTCTAGAGAAGATACACTATATACGACAACTAAAACATCCTTAAAAGTGGTTTCGGAATGTTTTTGATCAAGATGTTTGTTCCCTGTCTCTGAGGTGCACCAGTGATACAATTTTCACACTCATACAGCCTAATGACTGGTTCCTGTTTAGTATCAGTAGCGTCATTTCATTACCTTAAGATAAAATATACCAGAAGAAACTAACTGAAAGCCTGTTCAAAGTTCTTCAGGAATGCTTAACTTTCGGTCACACCGGCAATAAGTAACCGCTTATTCATTTTTATGCTCGACTGACTTAGAACAACCGAAGTAGTAGTTCGAATAGGTAGAACCATGGTTGTCAATATTTAGTTGTCTCCCCGGGATTGTTCGGTTAGAATGAGAATCTAGTGAAGCTTCTTAACAGGTTTGAAAACCTACGATTTTGTAGCAAAGAGTATAAACAATGACGTACTTGGATTTCAATGCAACAAGAGAGCTGGAGTACTATGGTAGAACGCATTCGATGTAACACACACTGATATAGTTTCATTTACTAAAAGATGTCTGGAACATTATTTATCACTTATTATCATATGAGTGTAGTTACACAACTTAGCACACTTGCTTTCATGGTCAAATTGCTTCTTAGGTTTTTGTCTGAATAACAGTAGGAGTTTCTATATCTCGAAATCGTATGTTCTTATTACACCTCATCCTGTTTTCTTTTGAAAACCAATTAACGGCCAACCTCGAGATATGGTAACTTGTTGCTAGTGGAACTGAAACCTCAATATGTAATTGAGCTATATAAAATGAGTGCAGTCAGTTTTGCAACTACTATGTAAGCATTATGAGCAATGAATCACGCGTAAAACCTATTCCAGTAAATAATGTTGTATCAATGAAAAGATATTATTTAAAAGTGATGTAGTGGCACATAATTCCACAAAATCAATAGCCTACGGTTCGATGAAATTCAGCATTGATGCTGACCCTCACAGTTTCATCGGACTCGCTAGGCTGAAGGCACACGGTCAAAGATCCGCGCTATTTGGCATGCTATCGTGTTACGTTGCGCTGATCGTAACTGATCCTATTGACAGCTAGTCGGAACGCATCGGTATTTTGGCACAACCTCTCGAATATACTATTCCATCTGACTACGCTATTGTGTACAAATAATCAGTGATTGGCCTCCGTGTTTGTCAAGTTCGCACAAGGACAATTCCAAAAATAATATTGTACTTTGTTGAAAGTTGCGCTAATTCCCATGTATGCACTGTGAATACCGTTCTAAG